CCAGTGTTTCTCAACCTTGGGAACTTTAAGATGTGTGGACTTCAACTGGCTGGGGAATTGGATCATTAAGGAATTCTGGGAGTTGAAGTCCACACATCTTAAAGTTCCCAAGGTTGAGAAACACTGGTGTAGAAGAACTTTGCATTTTAAAAGCAAGTCTGACACAGAATTCAGTTCAGGGTGGAAACCATTCCTTGATTATAACTTAACACATGGATTTGTACCACAGATAAATCTGGGGTTTCTCTTTGTATAGACTATATTTTAATTTCACAAGGTATCAAAAACTAATATGAATTGCATTTATCATAGCCTTTAATTTTATGTGGTGATTTCTACTGTGTTCACTATAGTTCTCAAAAGTAGTTTTAGTTCAGAGTTTAATACCTAGTGATTTTTAGTCTATTCAAGTGATATAATATTTTTAGTTGTTTGCAACTATGTCATACTGGAAAATTATAACCTCCATGACATGTCTAAATCTCTTCCTTATTCATTTGAATTTTTATTTTTATTTCCTCTTCTTATGTTTCTTTAAAGTTTGTTTTCAGGGTTGTCCACAAAGAGTGGCTGAAAAAGTCAGGATGGCAGTCACAACAGTGCAATACAGTAGAAACTCCACCTGGTTTTATGTGTGTCGCGGCTGCCATTTTGACTTCTTGGACAATACCTTGCAAATACCCTTGTTTGCTTTTATATCATGTTCAATATTCAGACACACACAGAGAAGAATGTACTAGTTAAACATTACCAAGCAGATGCCTCTATGGAAGGCAGGTGTCCACTCTCCCTTCCAGCCCAAGTCCAGATGTTCATGGAGGACAGTTCCTGGAACCAGAGGGGACGGGGTGTGCCTGCATCAGCCTTCAGTGCCCAATCCAAGCTCTGCATATCCCACCCCTGACTGTGCTAGCCACCACAACATGGAAGCATCCTGGATCAAACTGTATCAGGAGGAGAGGAGAAACACTGCTTTAAAACTAAGGATTATTTTAAAGTGCCTCTGATTTGGACTTGGGATGAGAAAAAGGCCATATAATTGATTGATTGATTGATTGATTGATTGATTGATTGATGACATGCCATCAAGTCGCTGTCAATTCTTAACAACCACATAGATTTTCTCCATGATGATCTGTCTTAACCTGGTCCTTCAGCTCTTCCAATGGTACGCTCATTGCTACTGTAACTATCCCCCTTGCTGCTGGTGTCCTCTTTCCTTCCACCTTTCCCAGCTTTAAAGCCTTCTCTAGAGACCTAGATCTTCGCATAATGTGTCCAAAGTAGGATAATTTGAGTCTGGTCATTTATGCTTCAAGTGAGTATTGTGGGTTGATTTGTTTGATGATCCATCAGTTTGTTTTCTTGGCTATCCATGGTATTCTCAGGAGTCTTCTCCAAACCAAAGTTCAAATGCACAGATATTCTTCCTAGGATGTAAAAAAGGAAACAGAGCTTCAATTGCACAGTTGTGGCCCCCCCATCTAGGCTCCCCACCCCACAGGCACCCCTTCCTCAACATGTTTATGCACAAGATTTCTCTTCTTTTCCTTTCTTGAACATTTGAACCTGGATGAACTAGATTAGCTAACATGTTTCTTTAAAACAAACACAAACTTTGGCTGTTTCTCTATGCTTTTGAAAGGACATTTTTTCCTTTCCATACAGATGAAAAAAAGCTGAATGGGTATAAAAGCTATTGTGTTGTCTCCAGGTAACATGCATATTGTATTGCCTATGTTTGATACAGAAGACAGGCTTCCTGTTTGTTTTGCTATCCTTGTTGCTATGCCTGTCCAGAGAACACAGTAAGTAAAACTATCTTTTTCCACTGTACCAAGTCTGCTAGAAAAAAGCTTTTTTCCCCCCCTGGAATAATTGGGCCAAGTGTTGAAGCCTGTACAAAATTAGATGTATCTGATCAAAAAACACATCTCTTCTAGTAACTGGGAACCTTGGTCGTAACCTTAACCTTAAGGAAACAGGACTTTTCACAGGATGGCAAAATGTTTTGGGGGGTTGTTAAGTCTTTTTTTTAAAGTTGGTATTCTTGGAACCGCTAAAATTTGTTTTTAGGAAGAAGAAAGATTTAGGAGTTACTAAATCATTACTAATAAAGTATTCCTATTGCACATATCATGCATTTGCACTTTGCCATTTTCTCTGTGAATTTGATCAAAATGGCTTTGTTGTTCCTGCATGTTGTATATTACTAAGGTCGTGAGTGCTATATATTAAGGACTGTCATGCTTTTTTGTTAAAAAATGGTAATTAGTCATTGTTGTGGTACAAACCATTTAAATAAAATTGAGGGAGTTGAGTTTAGCATTTAGCCTAGATATCCCCAAAAACCAGTTCTTCTCACATGCATTTGTGGCAATAATCCAAAGAAATGGTTGGTTTTTCTTGCTCTGTGCTATAAACTTATCTTTTCCTTTGAGCAGAAGAGCTTGAGTAAACTTTTAACAAACCTTGGCAAAATAGAACGGTGTATTTTTATATAAATCCTTGAGATTTTGATACCTTATGGCGATCAGCAGGATATTACAAGAGTTTATAATAGTCTATTTATTTAGTTACAATATTTGTAGAATATCCAGTCATGAATCTCCTCAACATTTCTTTGATTTTCTAACAAGTTTTCAGTAACTTGCATAGATTTTCCCCCACTTTGTTCTTTTTATTTGTTTCCTTTTGTACTTGAAAACACAGTGCCCTTCCATATCTAAAGATGGAGCTGATTCAAGGTCAGCCTCACTTTTGAGGGTCCTCACAAGGCTTCCGGGAGTTTCTACATGGTGCTGTTCCAGAAATAACATGCTGGCTGGGGAATTCTGGGAATTGAAGTCCACACATCTTAAAGTTGCCAAGTTTGAGAAACACTGATTTAAACTATCTCATATACACTTTGGATCAGATGAAGGCAAAGACATGAGAACACAGCAAAAACACAGGCCATAAATACAGCAGATACTGCATTTTATTCCTTAATCTGTGCCTATCAAGCGACAATTGCATTTAGGGCTAAAAAAAACTGGCACAGCAATTCTTCAGAAAGAAAAAGGCATGAAATGTAATGTATACCCTGCAGTAAGATAACACCCACACTGACACAACTGCAGATTAGAGAGGGAGGGTGTTTTTTAAGTGGATGTTAGTACCTTGCTGACCTTGGCTGATCTTGAAAAAGCTAAGCAGGGTCAGTCTTGGTGAATACTTGGATGGGAGGCCATCAGGAGGTTCCAGGGCTAAAGGGAAAAGATAGTGCTGAGAACACTACATGGACATGTCCATTAGGTCACCAGGAGTTGAGTTCAACTCAAGGGAAACGTTCCTCCGCCATAACATTTAGTGATATTCAAAGATGGAGGAAGAAGGAAAATTAAAATGGTGAGTTGTCATTCTTGGCAGCATCGTTACTGATGTTGTTAACATTGGAGTGGTCAACAAACTAGAAATAAACTCACACAAATGAATTGGATCTGTTTTTTGTGTTGCCTTATTGTTTCATTTTATAGGCCAGTTGTGGAAGAAGCAAGCAGGAGGGCTGGATTTTCCTGTTTTGGATATTTGAAAGGCAAAGAGGCAATTTTATCGCCCTCTGAATTTTGCATACCTTCTTCGGTGCAGGTCTGGCTAACGTCAGCATGTAACTGAAGAAGCTCAATTCAGCTACTGGATCAAGACAGGCAGGTTGAGAAATAGAATTAACAATGCGCCCATTCTGTGGGCAGAATGGAGGGGGGCATGAAAAGGAGGATGAAAGAATCTCACAACAGTGCAATTGATATTTATGTCCTGTAAGAAACAGCCCTCAAAATCTCATGCAACAGAAACCTGCAAGTTTACTTAGATGCAAGACCTACTCTAAGGAGTTGCCTTCTAGTAGGTGTTTAGAACGGCAACCTGGCTGAAGCATCCTATCTAATTTTTATGATGCTCTGTCTTTGCCTGTCCCTGCACATCAGCTGAGAATCAGGTTGGGCTTTCAAAGGCCAAATTGTAGCAGGGACCTGGCATATGATAAACCCTGATTGACAGTCTCTTGCGCCATGTAATCACTTGTTTTTAAGGACACATTGTCAACTTAAGCTACTGCAGAATTGCACAAAGATGTATGGCATACTAAAAATGAATTAATGCAAACTTTTATATATTGTGTTTAAATAGCACAATCAAACATTCTTAACACTTTAATAAAGTCAAGGACAAAGATTTATGGTTCTACCTAAATTTATTTCAGTTTGATATTCTGCTAGTTTAATGGGTTAATTGCCTAATCTTTGGCCTGCACTGATTTCCAAGGCTTCCTTAATAACAATTTAAAATATATATACCATAATTGCCGGAAATGTATTTATGCAAACTACAAAAATGCAAAACTACCAGATTTGGCTGCAACATTACTGGTGACCTATGAATAGCAGCAAAGAGTCAACATTTCCTGTAGTTTGTTCCTGCTACCTAGTGGTTATCTGGATTTTGCAGCCCAAATCTGGTACCTATAACTAGTATTGAAAAAGGCATCTCAAAAATATAAATAATGATAATGACACAATATTTGCAACACTTGTCAGATGTTTTGTACACAGCATAATGTTTTCAGAGATGAGTCTGAACGTTTAAATGCTTGGAAGAAATCAAATGTTGCTCTTGCTACAATGCTGACAGGAGGGCTGACTATGAAATAAATTCAACTGGAATATGATCCAAACTAAAGATTCAAAATGAGAAGATGACGGTATCCTGAATTCAGCAGAAATTGTGCAAATTCTAGTCTATGCTCTGAGTTGTTACAGGGATTTTCAACATGTTTGAAGCTCAGACTATGTAATGCTGTACAGAATTCTGTTCCTCTTTCTCCTCATTTTAAAAACTCAATGAAGACATTGTCTAGGATCACATCCTACATTAAGCCATGATTGCTTTAATCATGTTTGCCAAATAAACCACAATTAGGTGAACTCATACTTTATGCTAAGCCATAAATTATGGTTTGCAAACTGAAACATATTGAGACAAAACCAGAGAAAGCATGTTATAGTTTAGTGCAATGTGGGAATCAGCCTGCACGTTTTGGCAGAAAATGGATGGAAATCCTTCTGGCTTTTTTTAGTTGTTTAGCTTGATTTTTACCCATTGCTTGGACAGGCATATTATCTTGAAAGTTCCTGGTTTGGGGGGGGGAGCCCTACCTCTTTGTGGTCTGGGATTTCACAACATGCTAGGCTAAATTGTAGTGAACTAAGCTGTGGCTTAGTATGGTTAATTTATGGTTTGGTAACTGTGAATCCCATCAGTTGGGTTCACGTGGTTGAACATCGCTAATAAAACCACAATTTAGCATTTTATAGAAGACAATGGGTATCTGCCCTTTTTCTACCTAGATTCAGAATTCGATTTTATAAAATAAAAGGAAAGTGGAATCATCAGGAAAAAGCTAAGAAAAGTAACCATAGCCAAAAATCAGAAACCTAGAGTATGCTCTGTCTGGAAATGCTGGCCAACGAATATGGTTATCATGACTGATATTGAGAAAGAGGTAAAAAATTAACAGAGAAAGTGCCAGGAAATAGGTTTTCAGCTGAAGGAACATCCAATTCAACAGGAGATGGAAATGTGATTTCCTAAATCTTCTGGGCTCCTTGAGTCCTATCATATGAAGATTATATTTTGGGACTGCTGCAGGTTGTGTCCACAACTATCCTCAGGAGATCTGCTTGAAGGGCAGGTCAAAAAAGTTGAGAAGGTAGCCACAACCATGCAATTGAGCCCCCCTCTGCTTTTTTTACATGAGTCACATGGTCACAGTCACTATCTGAATTTTACCACCACCGCCAAGGATGTTCCTGGCCATTATACAATGTAGGCTCCAAGCCAATGCTGTGGCTTCTAATTTGCAGAGAAAGTTATTTTGCCTTTGTCTTGTGCACAAGTGAAGTATGCATTCTTGCTCCTGTCTCTAGTCACTTGATTTGGGGAACTAATTCTGCCATGCCCGCTACCACTTCCCTGGTCCTGTTTTATAGTCCAGACCAGAAAGAACCCTGAATGTGCTCATAAGTCATGCGTGATAATGACCAAGTCCTGGTGGCATTAAAGTGCACTGGGGATGATTTGAAAATAGAAAGAATAGTGATGTGGCAGATTTTTTTTCACTTACTTGTGCCTCCTTCCATACTGTATACATTGTTTGTGGCTTACATTTCTATTTTAGTTTCCTCAAAAGGCCTATGCCTGAACAGTCTATTTACCGGGGTTGTAAAATTTCCTTCTGCAAGATGACTTTTCTTAACTAATTCCATTTTCCTTTTAATTAAAACCAGACTTTGGCTGTTGATCAGCTTTACAGTTGACTATCTGTTGAACAATCCAGGACTTCGGAATTAAAATCTTTAAGTATATTGCAATAGAGAGACTTTATACCCAAACGTTCATGGGGCTGGTTGCCTTAGTTTCACCTTGAGCTTAATATTCTTAATAGCCTAATTAAAAAATGGATATTTGTATCCAGAGGCAATTAATTTCCAATAAATTATTTTTAAATTAAGATCTGGAGGATTATATTAACTTTATGGAAATGAAAGCACAGGGAACACCTCTGTGATTTTTTTTTTAATCAACTCAAGCCTGTTTTATCGCATTGTGTAGTTAAAGTTGATGTAGAAGCAAAGCTTTGTTTTTTGGGGAAAGAAGAAACATTACACACACAAATAGTCTTATCCAGTATGAATATATCCTGGACCTGCATAGTTACAGTACCACATCATGAAGTGAATGTATTTTGTAAAACTTCTGAATAATGTGTATTAGAATTATGTTTAATAGTGTAGAAAGTTCCAATAGAAGAGAATAGGTGTAGCTCATGGTTCTTGGACGTTTCATTACCCAACTAGATAACATCACCAGTGTGGGGGAGAATGAAGTTTGCTGGTTGTTTATATTTAGTAGCTTTTGAATGGTGTGTAAATGTGGTTTATCTCTATGTGTCTACTGATGGCTGTTGTCTTCAAAGGAGACAGCAAAAAAACTAGGAAGGAAACAAAAAGATAAAACACATCCCCTCCAGCAGCCAACACCCGGATAAGCAGGGATTAACACCAGACAAACAATCAAGCAGAAAACAATGCCC